GCGGGGGCCACTGCTCCAGTGCACATGTACAGGGTAGGAGAGAATGCTGCGCTCTGTGGGCATCACCATGGGCAGCGGTGCTGGCAACACGCTGGGGAGGGAAAGGGAGGCCCCTGAGCTCTGGTGCCTTCGGAGAATCCCAGACAGGCAGTTGGGAGAAGCGTGGTGCCACGGCACAGCCTAGAGTACCCTTAGCCATGGTCACTGCTTTGACTGCTGGGCAGTCCACCCCTCCCAAGCCAACTTTTCCATAGACTCAGAAGCGAGAAAAGACCCAAGTACTTGGCCTACTTTTGGGTAGCCCAAGCCATGTTCCAGGCTACTGCAGTCTCTCTGTACTGGTAACTCCTCAGCAAAGGCTGACAGACAGACCCCTCTCTATATTCTGTTTGCCCCAAGAGCTGGGTGCAGCGCTGGGTGAGGCATTTCTGCAATGCAGCCACGAGCTGCATCCTGCCCTTCCAAGGGGAGTTAAAGCACTGAAGCTCAAGACACATCCTCCAGCTAAAATTCTGGTCTTCACCAATATGCTAGCAAGTCACTTTTAGCACATTACTGAGTTGCCATTGCAATCAACAGATTATGGCAGGCAGCTCATGGGATTTTAAAGCTGTAGCCATCCATTATGAAGAAAAAAGAGTCACTGACACTGCTGTTAAGAAAGGAAAATTAAAAGATGAGTAACACAGTGAACCCTATAATACTGTGTCCTGTAGCTTCACAGGTATCCAGAAAGGCACAGGTTTATGGTAAGCTGTTTCCAGGACTGCTGACATGACTGAAGATGCTCACATTTGATGCTTTAGATTAGTTAGGAAGAGAATTAACCCAGTGTTGTTTTGCCTCTGATTCAGGGAGGTAAAACAACATCTGAGGTATGGAAAAGAATAGGTGTAACAGCAATTGAAATGTCATTTTCAACATGGTAGAAGGGCTCTTATACAGAAGATTAAACACCAGTCTTGCGAAATATTTCTCCATGGATATTAGTCTGGCACAGAAGCAGCAAAAAGTGGGGGAAAGAAAATAACAGACCTCAAATTGATCAGCATGAGTAACTGCTTCCTCTTGGAGTACATGGAGTGCAAAGGCAGAGTTGTCCTTGGAGTGTTTTCAAGGCATCCAAGGCATGTCCATATATTTCTTGAGTACCGTTAAATCCCCAGCAAGCTTAAGGCTGCCAGCGTACCTTGCCCATTTCATAGCTTTTGCCCAGAGTCAGATCATCTCCACACACTTTTGATATCCTGGAAGGGTCAACACACAAGCACACCCCACAGGAGGCATCTGGGGTGGCTGAAAGGAAAACAGCCACCTTCTGGGTGAAGTTCTGTGTTAGGGACTTTCACTACCATGCGCGTCACTGTCACAGCAAAGACAAGGACAAAAATGAGCACAAGAGGCCTTTCAATACCATTCCAACAAACCTCCCACAGCCACGCCACCAGAAAACCCGTGTGCCCCATCTATTCGTCTGCAACAGCGCCAGCTCTGCAAATGTAACTGGGAGGATCAATGGCAACAAACCATCAATTTTGTTCTATTTTCTTTACGTCTGTGGTGATTCTATATGACAGTTCTCATGCAGCAGGGGACATCTCATGGAGTCTGAATCCAGGCTACGGCACCATGAGTTGAGATTCTGCAATTCTACCGCTTCTGGGGAAAAGCAAGGGTGACAGGTGTCAGTAAAAACACCTACAGACATTTGAAAGAGCTAAAACAGACGAGCCATCACATGAAATGGTGAAAGAACCACTGGAACCTGAGGCCCATTTCGTAATGGGCAAAATTTGCCTTGAACTCCTGTCTTACACGAGTCGCTCAGCCTCACAGCTCACGATACTGAGGGATGCTGCGGTCAGTGAGAAACGTCTGACATCGTCGTGTCTTGGATAACACATAAAGATATCTCTAGCATTGAAACATGAAACAATAAAAGTAACTGATGCTATTAAATAACAAAAGTAAGTTTATTTTATCAACATTATAAATATTTTCTTTCCCTCCATTTAACTCCAGAATGAGATAGTAAAACCGGTACAATGGAACAATTCAGGAGCTCCTCAGTTCTACTGAAAAGGGTCCCCTTTAATGACAAATTAAAATGGAAAAAGACATTTCGTCAGCCCAGCAACCCCGGTAGCTTAGCATCCCTAGGTACTTTGTCATTCAAATAGCACAGTTCTGCAAGCGTGTGCGCGTGTGTGGGAGTCTATATATATGCATACTGATATTTATAAATATACATATATATAGTAATATACACACATGAACAGACACAGCCACAGAACAGACACTTTTAGCAGATCCGAATGTTTTACGGGGACCTTCAGTGGGTTCCCAGCTGCACGCTGAAGTTCAGGCCCCGCACAGCGCAGGCGCAACGGCACCGTACTAAGCTAGACCCAAAGTGCTCACGAGATTCAATACGTACGTGTCAACCCTTAACTGCTGCTGCTGGCGGCTGTCCAAAACCAAGAATCCCACGGCACCTGAAGAGGGGATAAGGAATAATCCTGCAGCATCCTGGCCCCAAACCTCTCCCCTCGGTGAACCAACTTCTGATGTCCCTGGCTGTGTGTGAGCCATCGCAGAAAACAATACACACACTCTGTTATCTACAAACGCAACACGCTGCCAGCACCTAACGCGTTCTCTGTGCGGTGCTTTGGGACACCTGGAATATTAAAGGCACTACATACAGCCAGCTCCTGTCCTACCTCCAGCGCTGGGGTTTATTTTCATCCTGCAGTCACTGTCTCCTACTGAGCACACAGCGTGGACGGCTTTCCAGAGGCACAACAGGCTCACTCTGATCGCAGCGTCGCGCTCCAGCTGCCGGGGAAAAAGGCAAGGCAGGCTCTCCCGTGTGCTCTCAGCTCCTTTGAGCAGTCTCAATGGCACAAAGGAGCTCAAGAAATCTGCCTGTCCTGCCCAGCTGCTCCGGAGCCAGCCCCTGCTGCGGCCAGCCCCTGGGCACGAGGGACATCCCACCGAGGGGAACGCCACTGGGGATAGAAATGGACAGTACCCAGATCCCTTTCCATAACGCACCTGTGCCTCTGGGAGCTGCCTGAGATTACAGCAAGCCTTTACTGCTCCACCTGCTTCACGGGACTAAAGGACGAGGGAGCTGCAACGGGCTCCCCGACCATCCTCCGCTCAGGCACCAGTCTGCTCAGCACAGGACAGAACCCAGCCCCCGGTGTCACTGAAGCTTCCTCCACGTCTCACTTCGGTAAAACAAAGCATAAAGATAAAACTGATACTAATATAATTCTTATTTTTCATCAAATATATAGAAATATTACAGCAATGTCTTTCCTCACAGCTGGGAAAAGATGCAAGGCCTACCGTGAAACCACAGCGTGAGGATCTTCCTTGTGGAAATTTCACATGCACCAGAATAATACTCTGATTTTTTATTTTAACAGTTGCCAAATTCTTTTCTAATATATACACATATTAACCTTCACCACAAGACCCTGGATGATTATCAAGGGAAGGAATTTGGCTTTCATATTTTATTTTTTAAACAAGAAAGGTAAAGACAGAAAATAAGACAAAATACATTTCATGTCGCCATTGATCTATAGATTACAAATATATATAGTTTCCTTCCAGAGGAAGAAATACTAAAGAAATATTTTGCTCATATCAAATGAACTTTTGAAAACAGAAAAAAATAAATTTTTTCAGCTCCTCCCTCTCTGCCACAACAATCACTCTTGTTTAAAAAAAAAAAAAGAAAAAGAAAAAGAAAAGAAAATAATTGCGTTCTTTTCATTTCCATAACTTCTATCAAGGAAGAAAAACTTCTCTGAATAATGACCTGAGTTATTTTCATTGTCTCCAAACTGCACGTAATCCCAATGATCTCCATCCACCAGAAACCTACACCTAGCAAGGTGCGTGAAAACAAACACCGGTGGATCTTTCAAAACAAACAACAAAGCAAAATTCAAAAATGTATTGCAAGAATTATGCCAAAATGTGGGCCATGAGTGTCTTCGTGGGAACCGGTCAGACGCAGGGGAGGTGGAAGCTCTGCTGTTTCTGGCAGCTGAGTTCTCTGTCGTGGGTGAAAACCTGCAGGTGAACATTTTGTGTACGCCTGGGTGTATTTGTGTTTCTCTTCTTTTGTGATTATAATCTTTGAGGTAAGACAGGGAACAGACGAGTACAGAAGACACGGCTTGCCTTCACAGCAGCTAAGCAGCTTTGCATTTCTGAGCCTATAGTGGATAACGAGGTGAAGAGCTGCTGCTTGTCCTTCTCCAGTGGAACAGCCTCTCTGAAACTCCAGCCCTCTGGGCAACTGGACAGCTTACAGGTTCAGCCAAAGAAGGTTTTCCCATTCCCAGTGCGACCGGGGCGGTGCTCGTTCGCTTGCTGACAGCAGCGAGCCCAGGCTGACCGCTGATGTCCTAGGTCTCCTTCCTACCTCTGGCCTTAACGCAAAGGGGAGCGGGCCCATAAGTCAGTCCATCAGAACCCCCTCCATCTCGCACAGATCTCTCCCCAGTGTGAAACTCATCTTTTCAAGGGTGAAAAATAGCTATCAATTTTTAGACAGGCCCGAAACCTGAGCAGAATCAGGTCAGCCATTATACGCACGATGGTGGCGTTAGAAACCTTACTGGTAACTTTCTGCTCTGCCATACAACGTGATGTATCCCCATAACTCGTCCACACAAACGACTGTTTCAGGAAGATACCATAACCATACACCCAGCAACAGCGAGGAGGTTACGTTTTGTTACTGCCGTATATCTAGCTGTACCCCACACCTTGGGAAACAAGGCCATAGGCAGAGTCCTCTCCCAAAAGTGAGAAAACCCCCCGGTGATTGAGCACTGAGGAGACAGCTTCCAAGAGGACACCACAGGAGGGAACGCAGCTGGTAAAAACATTGGCTTTTTCCTCAGGGCATCCAGAGCTCCTCAGATTTTTTGCTACTGCCTGACCATTTGTGAAGACTTAACACAGAGACAACAGGTACTATTTAACTGATGAGAAGTGAGGGAAATAGGAGAATAAAAGGAATGCAGGAAACTGTGGGGTGGAGGAGGCCCTGGTTGGGTGTTTTAATGTCCCAGTTAGTTTGGATCCCCCACACCCTCTTTTCTCTTTCTTTCTTTTTTTTTTTTTTTTAATAAATTGTACAGATGAACATGGGAGAAGTTCATGCTACTTGCTGGAAGCAATAAAGGTAAATTTCTGTGGCCCATGGATTCCACAGACCTTTGAGTGTCCTGTCTCATCCATCATGGGCTAACTTATGGAACCTAATTGTCCCGTGGCAAGACTCAGTAGCCCTTAGAAACTGGTGGCATGTCCTCAGGTATTTTCCACGAGAGCGAGCGACACATTGATTCCATCAGCTTCTTCCTCACACGATGCCCGAGTGCCTCAGGTGCAGCCTTGCGATTTCCAAGGATTCCTCGTCGAAGTTTTCACGCATCAGACTGCTGTCTCCAGATCCTCGTGTGAAACCATTTGGTAGTTTTGTCGACTCTCCAGGTAGGAGGCCAGATCTGGGTCACCAGCTTGCTGAGCCCTGTCACGAGGAGTCTTACCCTATAATAAAGAAACAAGAAGAGAAAGTATTGGGCTAGCATATTTAGAAGAACAGATGAAAGCACAACCCAGAGAAATTACTACAGGAAGGACAGAAACAAATTTGGAGAATTTACTTATTTTATTGTACAAGTTGGCGATAAGTTTTTCTATCAGAGTCATGAGATTCTGAAGATTTTCAAAGTCCTTGTGTGGTTTACGACAAATCCCGCAGTTCTGCAAGGACACGTTATTTGATACATAGCACTGAACGGCTCGCACGCCGAGCGCGGAACTGATTTTTCATTCTAGGACGACAATCCCTATGTGAATGAATGTGACGCACAGTACTAGCAGCTAGCACTTGACAGCTGCACTCCGCAGACTACACACATTGCTAAGGACGTGCAGAGAGAGATGCCCAACATCTGAGATGACTTCAATGTGTCTCAGTCTATCTCAAGCACAAACCATTTTTCAATGCATCAATTTACTACTCCGTCATCTGAGCTACCTTCAAAGGACTGTTAAATCGGACCACAAGTCTTGATCCTAAACTACGAAAAAATATTGGAAACACGTTAATGTATCTCCACAAAAACATTACTTGGATTTCTGGGCAGATGAAGATTAACAAATCAGAAGCCACTTTTCTGGATTGCAGCTGTTGCAGAAATTATCTTTTGCAACGTGCAGGAGTCTCACCTGAAAAAGTGATGATCTCTCTTCCCCTTACAGGCTACCCCCCACAGCACTGCATGCTAGGAATTGCTTCTCACTGTCTTGCTGCAGCAAAGGTGCTTCTGACTCTGGAACCCAGAGATCCAGCCACCTCTCAGCTGCAGACCCCAGGATGCCTATGTTCAGAAGCACCAGAGGGGCAGCTTCTGGACTGTGTTCCCAAGTGACCAGATTGTTGTATCGACAGAATACTCCTAGGGTTTAATTTTGCCTAGACTGCTTTCTCGGCCAAGCGCACACCGAGAGTGGGTTGTGGTTAGTGTCACATCAGTGAGCATAGGGGCAATCAATGGCAAAAGAAAACAGTTCGCCATCCTCACAAAGCAAGTCAGCCACAATAATCAAGCCTCACAGATGCTATGCAACCACGAACCAAGACTCCCCCAGGTGGTCCTTGCCCACAGGCCTCTCTTTTGACCGCACAGGAGGAGGATGCTGCTGTGCCATGGAGATGCCTCATTCACACCCAACGCACCAAACAGTTTGAGGCCAGGCTCTCACTATGGCAAAGATGACCCACGTTGGGGACTGAAGTTTCTTGTACTTGTTCAAATCAGTACAGTTTTGTAAATAAAAATAGCTCGTTTAAAAAGAGCTGCTCTTGGCAGACACGAGGAAGCCTCAATCATGCACACAGCAGGGACGGATGCTGATCGGTCCTGCTTGGCTGCAGTGTTTTATAACTGGTTGACGGGGCTGGGTTACCTTGGAGTCTGTCTTTCTCAGAGAGGCTCCCGCATCCACCAGGAGCTGGCAGACGGCACGGTGGCGCTGGCAGGCTGCCTTGTGCAGAGCTGTCTCACCCCTAGGCCAAAGCACAGAAAGCAGCCGTGAGACACATCACACCAATGCACATTTACGGAGTATGAGCTGCGGAGGGTGCGGAATTGCTGCGAGGTTCCCTCTTGCTGGCAGAGGTAGAATTGTGCACTCTCTCCCTCAGCATCTACCTCCTTTGACGGAAAGCCTGCAATGCACAAGTAGCAGACGAAGGACTTCTGAGGTGTGGGAAAGAAACATGTACATGTTTTATGTATTCAAAGGACTGAATGTCACATTCCCATCCAACCACCAGTTCTGCTAGCTGCTGAAAAGGCGAACAAGCCACTTTCTTATTTCACAGCAGGCAAAACAGCAACAGTGTTTGCTTCTTTCTCCTATTGCTTTCCTCAACCTCATTCTCGGGCTCATCCTAGAAGAATCGTGCCCATCAAGGCCATGACCGGTGTACTTGCTGCCCTGCTTTTGATGCTCTCATACATCCAAGAGAGCAGGGTAAGAGGTGTGGTTTTGTTTTCCACTGCTGGACTGGTGATCTGTAGGGGAAGCTTCAACACATGCTTTTCAAAAGCGAAGGCTGTGTAGTGGGAGCAGACTTATTGCAAAGCTCCTCACTCCGACTGGGGCTACCTGTAACAGGATTCTGAGACTGACTGTAGTACCAAGGTTAAAGAAATCTGTCAAGACTTGCCTAGGAAGAAGAGGAACGTATGCTTTGAGTGGGCTGAAAAGGTGTCCTTAATACTAATGTCCAACAAGTAGGGCCATTACATAAACCTCCGAGATAACAAATGATAATAAATACACATAGCAGGACAAACCTTGCACCTACCTACCCAGAAAGTGAGAATGCATAAAGGAATTTCAGCCTCAGTCCACGACAGCCTAAGTTCAAATATTAATAGGCAGAATCACAGAATCACAGAATAGTAGGGGTTGGAAGGGACCTCTGTGGGTCATCTAGTCCAACCCCCCTGCCGAAGCAGGGTCACCTACAGC